GGAAGTCTCTAAGCTGACAGTGGACACCACAACTTCTCAGTCAGAGGTGCAGATTACTGTTCTTTCTGAACACCACCAAAGAAAGGCAGCGTATGATAATGTCCCCCAGTATGACATGATGTCTGGGACAGAAGACCGAAAGCTCCATCTGACATGGTCTCTGCTGCAACTTTCCTATCAGATGTGACTGCTCTCACACCCAGCAACGATGTGCTCTTCAGAGGTCCATTCCTGCCTTTCTAGCAGACCAGGACTCCACCATGCTTCAGATTGGGATACCCTATCAGCCATGCGGGTGATGCCCAAACCTTATAGTCGTCAATGGAATTAAAACTTTGTATCTTAACGTCATCTGCTGCTCTTTGGACAGAGCAAGACCACTCAGGCTCCTGGCCTGATTTAGGTGCTGGCCTGTTACAGAGCTCATCGTGTGGCCCACACACACGGGCCACCAGATACACACATCAGCACGTCCAGGCTGTCGATGCAGGTGTAAACCCATTCACCAAGGCTCAAGTGCTGTCTCTTCCCAACCTCTTGAGCTGTTCAGGTGGCTGAACACTGATCTGTTGAGCAGATCATCTCTTAAGTCAGCGCTGCTGTGAATCTACATGTGCTTATCTTATTCTGTTTATCTCTAACGAATCATCAAACACCTACTTACGGGGCACAAGATTGCTGCTTGTGCATTACCGACACGAAACATGAGTGAGAAACTCTTTGACTGCACAGCTTTTTTTCTGAAATCTTTTGAGGTGCCAACACTTGTAACGTTCAAAATTGTTTATTTAAGATTCAGAAAAATTCAGTGACCAGCTTGTATAACCCTTTTTTTTTTTTCCCCTCCAGGTTGACACTCACTTTAAAAGCGCTTAACAGTAATCCTAAATTAACATACGCCTTGAGTTTCCATGGTAGTTTCAGACCTTCCTTTACTCACCTGTGAAAATGAGTTTTTACTCAGAGTAACCACACATCAGTTCTGATACTATACATATTGTGTGTATGTACAAATCTTGATATTTAAAAATTACTTTTTTGGACAAAAAATGGATCATTATTAGGTTTAGTAGCAGTAGTGGAGGTAGTAGTATAATTATCTTCTTTCCAGGAAAAACTCATTCAACATCCTCTCGAGGCCGGCAGACAGTTCCCTCTATTCAAGTACTACTTTGAAGACCACTGTCAGAGGTCATGAGAGTCACAACATCTACTGAGTGATGTGTAGCTGGCATAGGGAAGCAAAAAGATGCTTTATGCTTCTTTGCTCCTTTTTGTCATCTTACAATACGGGCACTAAATTAGAAACCCTTATTTTCCCACTAGTGGAGATAGTAAGCACCATAAATTAGAGAACGAGGATGATAAATTATTATTCCCTCTGCCAGCCATGCTTCCGCCCATCTAAGACTTGAAAAATTCCACGTGCCTCAATGTCTTTGCAGAGCTGCCCAGGGCTAGACAAACAAGATTCACTGTTGGTCTGCTTGTTCCATGTGAAAAATGTCTATTTTTCAGGCAGACTACCTTGAGGACCTTTTATTATCACTGACATTTCTTTCCTTTATCACCGTCTCATCCTCCAAAAAGGGGGATGCACGAGGAGACACTTGCGTTTATTCTGACGCATTATGCACTTTTATGTGAAACAAATTTTCTGAAATGTGTTTTCACAAAATTTTTTACATATGTGACCACACTGATTCTGGTCACTAAGAGCTGGATAAAAATAAAATAATGACTGTTATATTAGAGCCTTCTCCTCAATCTCACTGATAGATTTAGATTGATTTTATCTCATCGATAAAACTTAGGTAGAAGTTTTAAAGGCATTCCACTATAGAGCTTTCCTTCTGCAAACATCAAACCCCATGACTGTCTTGGAAATGAAAGACCGATTAAAAAATGCACATCAAAATATTCTCAAATGCACTTCCTAGTGTGTTTATCAACAGGGCCGTATTCATGTTGGCAATCTTAGTTGTGTGAAATGACTAATCAAAGTAGCACGAGCATCATCCATCTCAATTTGTCATTTTGAATTTTTGTTGTCATCATTTAGAGTTTATGCAAACTCTTGCACAGAACAAGAGCTCTATCACAAGGCAGAGACTCCATTGCACCGGTGTTACATGTAAATACACTAGTGCGACCTCTGTGCAAAAAAAAAAAAATCCATTAGACACAGCTATGTAAAGTTTGGCAGAAATGCTTTTTTTCATGTTCTGCGCAGAGCTTCTCCAGCAAAGAATTTAAGAACCTAGTTTGTGATGGAGCACATCATGTCGCCCTTCAAGCTTACACATTTTCTGTTTGGGTTTTTTTTTTTTTAATGAAAATGTGGGTAATGAAAGTAAAAAGAGACACAGAGCTGTATCATGGTCACCCAGGAACCTGGAAACATTCCTTAGCCTAAGAGCAAAAAGTAAATGAACAGCGTATTTCAGCGTTAGATTTATCAGAAGTTCCATTTCCTTGAATAATTTTAATACCTGATATTTATGGACCCCACAAACTGCTTCACATTGCTAAGAAAAATTATTAGCATTGTGGAAGAAAAATTTTACCCTGATGAATTTGGTGAAATAGTACAGTTCTAGCGTTTCACTTGAATATCATTAGTATCTTCAGGAAAGCAACCACAAAAAGCCTTGCAACTATGCCCTGAAGAGACAGATGTTTTAATCAGTGATACAGGCACATTTATCCCAATTTTTTTCTTCTAAGCTTATGTGAACTTAAAACATGCATGAATCTGTGGCATTAATAACAGTAAGAAGGCTATGGAAAAGTATAAAGTTAAAAATTTTTCTTGTTCCTTGTAAAGATTTATAGAATTTCCTGCCCAAAAGTATTTTACTGAACTTATGAGGATGCACATATAGGTTATTGATCAGGTTCTCAATCTTTCACCCTCCAGCTCCTTGTGTGTTTTGCACAGCTACAGAGCCTCAAGATGCTGGGGCTGTTAAAGGATTATGAGAAACAGTCCCTATGGAGAACCTTCGTAAAGTAAAAGCCAAACAAACAAACAAACAAAACCATTGGGGATTATTACATCTATGTGTAACTTAAAGATCTTTAAGGCATGGCAGTGGTAGAGCTCAGTATCTCCATCAAAGTTCTGCCTATAAACGTAAGACCAGTTTCTGATCTAATATCTAATAGCTCCACTGACATGAACTGTGTATTTCTAAGAAAAGAATTTCATTTTTTTAAAAGTAGTTTACACTTAAGCAAGTGTAAAGACATCACAATAAATGCATTTCATCAGGTCCATATAAGAGTTCATTATTTCAAACTCATGTTACTTGTATACTCACTCGTTAAAATTTAGTTCTACCTGAGTATTAAATATATGAAAATCTCTGCCAGAAAATAAAGAGTAATGTTTCTGAAAAGACCAACTACTTATGCCTCATAACAGCTGCAATTATGCAAAAATTGAGGGCCAAATCCATCTCTGATCATGTCAGCGGAATAAAGGCAGAACCTGTTGAATCGTAGCTGTATGGTGTGAAACTATTTAATACAGCATTTTTAGAGAAAATAAAATCGTTTTAAAAGTCTATTGACATAATATACAGCTATACGCCTAGGTTATCCAAACATGTGCAGAGCTGCAAAAACATTGAAATAGAAGTTGTATATAAAGCAAAAATTGTCATTGAGAAAAGAATTTAGCCATTTGTACAAAGTAATCTTCTTTCCCTTCAATTTGCTCTTCTTTAGTTTTCATTTTATAAGTTCAATTTAAAAATTAGTCAACACACTGAATTAAGTATGTAGATTTTCATTTAAATAAATCAGTCGACAATTTTTTTATAAAGTATTTAACACTTCATTGTAGAAACATAGGCAAAATGACTATTATAACCAAAATGAAAAATACTGTTCAATTTAAAAAAATGTACTTAAACAAGAACCTGAAAAAGTTTATGATATGCATAACATTGTTCAAGCAAAATTGCACTAGTATTACATAAATCAAGAGTTTTATAAAGGCCCCAATATGGCAAAGTTTAGAAATAGGTAGTATGCATGCACAATAGTACAACAAAAATCTTTTATAAAACAGCAGTTATTTTTGTAATGCTTGTACAAAGGGAATAAAGAGCAACCACAAACATATTTAATCTGTTAGGTTAATATATTATGATAGCTAAAAGTCAGTCATGTCTAGCAGAGGAAGGAAGAGTCCTCCACAGTATATGTGTGAATAAGTCTTTTGTGCCTTTAAAGTTATGTATAAAATATTTCGATTCAGTTCAAACCTGAAAGAAATCGTATTCTTTATTTCCATAAAATTAAAAAAGGTGAGTCAGATTTTTCCTCTTAGCAACAACAGAAAGCAGACCAGGTCAGAGCAAGTGCTGGAAACTGATACTGATGCTTTTCACTTTCGGTAATCAGATTTTGATATTTAACCCAGACTATTGAAACTCAGGCTCAGGAAAGGTTTCACTAATATGCAATTTGGTTATGTTTTACCTCAGAAATATCACAGTTTATCTCCATTTAAAGAAACTGCTTCGTTTTGTATTTTGTTATGTCCTTAAACAGGTGCGACTTTTTTGTGATTGTCAGAATTGAATGCTGTGATCATCTGTGTGTGCTTAAGGTTTGGGGTTTGTTTTTTTTTCCCTACTGCTTGGTATGTGTTGGGGAATTATTAATACATAAGTAATGCATGTGATTAAGTGAATAAACATATAATGCATGTGTAGGCAATGCCCTCTTGTGCTCTCGGGTGGCTACTGTCCTACAGGACTGTTGGAGTTCATATGCTTTGTCCCACAGCAAGTAAGGTTTCAGCTTCCAAGATATATCTTTACTATGTTCTATAAGGTTTTAATAAATACAAAGCTTGTTTACATGGTATATATGTTTAGTATATCATGTACAGTCACTGAATTTCTGAAACATAATCATTGTGTTCATGCAGATCATTAGATGTTTCATTTCTATAGTCTCGTTTACTTGTTGGCAACCTAAAGCTAATTTAAAAGCAAGTTATGTTTGGTTGTGAAAAGTTATCTAGCTTTATCAGGATCTGAAGAGAAATTCTAATGGGCACAAAGAAGAGAGTAGACCATTCAATCATTCTTTCACCATTTAAAATAAACAAAATTACACACTGTACTACAGCTTCCAGACTACATAATGAAAAAGTGCAGATACCATCTTCATTGATTAAGTAGAACCAAAAAAGTTCATAGAAAATAGATTGCTCATTTTCACGCTACAAACGAATATGTTGTTTGCAATTTTAACAAATTTAAAGGTGTGTTATTTCAGCAGCATTGTTGTAAATTGTACCGTAGTGCAGTTTCTTTTTCATAAAAATACCTTACAAATGGTCAGTCAAAAGTCATCAGCAAAAGAAAAACCCAGAAAACAATCAACCGAACAAAAAACAGAGGTAATGCTGATGCCAAAACAATTATAATACTGTTGGTACATAGAAAAGTAATCCTTATATTTTATACATTTATACAGAGTATAAAAGGTTACAGCAGGTTATGCCACAGTCTCCCTTATCCCAATATCTATTTTCTTTGGAAGGAGTTCTCTTCTTTCATCAACACTTGCTAAGGAGTTTCGACAGTTTTGTCCATCCATGTATAACTTTGCATATACTGGATTGGCGTAATTTGTAGTCTGCAGAGAAATTAAACACACGTTAGTTCAGTAGCATTAAACCAAAATAAACATTTATGGAAATGGAAATGGTTTTGTTAAAGCAAGAACAAGTACACAAAAAATATAATTGGACATATTTAATAGATACCTGGACTTCTGCAAACCTGATAATGAGTTAATTATTTAGTTAAAAACTAAAATCATGATGAGAGACATGCTATTAAAATAATCAATGACATGACATGCAGCATATTATGATATTAAAACCATAAAAACAGTGACCAAAAAAATAAAACAAACAAAAAAAAAACCTTGAAAAATGTCTCTGAAGTTGACTTGTCCACCTTATTACACTGGAAGATTTCAGAATAGATATGAAGAAGTTTATAGAGAAGGTGTACTGTGAGACCATGTGACAAGTTTAACAGTAGAAAACTGCAACCAACAGTTTCCATATATTACCTGTTCTAAGACATCAGCATCCCATCAATAGCTGACCATGTTTTCGAATTCTGTGGCCCAAATATACAACATGATTTGACCAAAAATTCAATACTTTCGTAATGAAAATTAAACTTTAATAATAAACCAACATAACTTAATATATCATAGTAGTTACAGATTGAGAAGTATTTTCTCAACAGTTTGGGTAGTTTGGACTGTGCTAAAAATATCTACTGAAACGAGTGGTAATTCAGTACAGGCCAAGTCCATTTTTAATTCTGCAAAGCACCTCAGCATGTGAGAAATCTCCTGAGTCTGACAGCAGAGCGCGACGTATAACATGGATGAAAACTTACTCTCCTATCACTCATGCGAAGGAGGAGAAATCACTATGCAAGGTTTGTCATGTAAACAGCTCCAATAATGCCTTCATACTCTGTGCGTTTATGGTCTCCTAGAAGACCTTTGCTATCCACCTCGATGTTCAGCTTTTTACCTATAATAACTGCAAAGTGTACCTTACGGTCAAGATCTTCCGCTTTCTTGTAACTAATGAAACATCACAACTTTGCTTACAGAAATACTGAGTGGAACATCAGTAAGCTATAAAATAGGTAAATTAATTTGTTTGATGTACATCAGAAGTGGCTGAACTTTAAATTACCCAAACCAGAAGCGGGTAGGCTTTCTTGACTTGCAAATACACCCTGGCTAACAAGGAATGAAAGATGTGTAGAATCTTCATTCTTGCCTTCCCTGTTGGTCAGTTCTGAACGCAGGATTCAGGTACTCCTTAGGCTGGCTAGCGAAGGCAGCTACTCATTTAGTTAGTTAAAAGCTGCCTATTCCATTTATTACAGACAACAAAGTGATTGCCTGGTTTTTCACACTTTCATGGAATGGAGGCAGAAAAAGGTGAGTCACAGTTATTTAAAAAAAAAAAAAAGAAAGAAAGAAACTACTCTTCTATATTAATGGAACATAAATATGCAATCAACTGCCGTAGTAATATATGAGAGCAAACTCTCAGTTATACCTGTCTGTCCCCATTGAATTAGAGATTTTTACATTTGTTGTAATGATTATCATCAGAAATTTAGCCAAACAGAAATTTAGTTTTATTTTGATTGACAGGAATTTTTATTTCATTGACAGTCATTATTAAGGATGATAACTACAACAGACAGAGACACTTGGCATCTATATAGTGCCTTATGGAGTTATTAAAATTATATATAATAGTAGGCTCTATTGAGTCTTTGAGTGGGTACTGACAGCATAATGCAGTACAGTGAGGTACAGAAAGTAACTGGAGTGATTTGAATAACAGAAAGAGTTAATGTTAGAGATGGGCATATAGTCTAGCTTTCATCATTCATGGTTTTGTGCTCCATCAGAAATATCATACCCTATAAAAATAGCTAAACTTCCAAATACAACATATTACAATAATGCAAAAATGCCAATGGCACAAAAGATGAACATATATGTACTGAGGCACATGAAAATGAATGTCAGATTGTTGTCCCTTTTTAATATTTCAAATTTCAATGTTTGCAATCATCATTCTAAGTTGTAGTCAAATTCTGATGTGTTAAAAGTTACTATTTTATGATAAAAATTGACTGAAGGCTGAACGATCAATAACTGCATTGCAAATATTAAAGGAAATTGTTCATTTTAGTGTGTATCAAATTCCTCTAAAATAAAAGGACTTGTTTTCATTTATTTGGGAACGTCTTTCATTTTGAAAAAAACTTCACTAAATACCTGTAATTACATGTAAAATGCAAATATATCAAGATACATGGCTGTGAATGCTACGCTAAACTTACATAATGCTATGGAAAAGCATCACATTGCAAAAGAACGCAAAACCAGTATGCAACAACACATTCGCGGTTTTAGATCATGTCACAATGAAGGGTACACAGATGAAATTTTGTATGCGGAGAGGAACCCTTTATTTCAAATAGAAAATGTATTATTTACTGTCATTCTTCTTGCCATTAAAAGAAGAAAAACAACATTAAAAACAAACAGAAAAATGCCTCTATTCTAAAATGACAGACAAACTTTCTTTAGAAAGGGGCTGTGGTGGAATGAAATGGATTTGAATCATCATTTCTCACCCCTGTTGATAGTGGTCCTTTCAAGTCAGAGTTTAGGTAGATTGATGGAGCTGTGTGGGGAAGCTTGAATGCAGTGGGCCCTCCCCCTATGTATCTGGCCTGTATAAACAGAAAATTTTAGTTTCTCTGCTAATAGAGAATCTTCCATGTGTACTTACCAACACTGTTAAATAAACAGTGCACTGATGAAAACCATTATTTTAGAGTGACCTACCATTAAAAAAATAAATAAATATCCACTTACAGGTATTCTTCAGCATGAAAAATTCTTGTATTCAGTAAGAGAATAAAATTCAGCATTTTAAAGTCATTTTCCATTAAGGATTAGAGGCAGACTTCACAGTAAGCATTGGCTCGGTTACTCTTCCTCCAGTGAGTAACTCCATTTTCAGCTTACCTCTTGTATTCAGCACACTGACTATGTGATTCAGCGATGTCATTCCTAGAGCTAACAGTAATCCGGTTATTGCTTTGTCAGAAATGCCACAGAATGATGGCTGCCCTTTGGTGTATGTCTGATTACAGAGCTCTAGGAAAGATATCGCAGCATTACCCCGTTCATCCCATGTCACATCGCTCAGGGAGTTCAATCACTGAAGAGTGGCGCTGCAGAAGTGACAGCATCTTTTACAAGAACATGATAATACTTACTAGCTTTGTGTAAACATTTAATCTATCTACCCCAGCCAGGATTCTGAATTCTTTATGCTTTTGGAAGTTTTCATATATGAAATAAGGTAGTCTCAGATGTATGAATACACTCTTGCACACTTCAAAAGACAGACTGCACGGTAAGATATTTCCATTCGGTATTTGCAACTAGACTAAAAAGATAGGTTATGATTTGGCAACTTAAGCAGCTGTGTCTGACAAAAACTCATTTCATAGTTTAGTTCTAACTCCGTTTTGGTAAAATGCAAGCACTAGCGATACTGTTCATCAGCAAGCATCAGACTGCAAAACAGCTGTTAATGTATACATGAAGTTTATTCTAATGAAATTCAGCTTGCCTTTCTATTCATCTAAACATCATTGTTTTATGTTTCTATTAATTACATGCAAAGTCAAAACCTTTGTAAGACAAAATAGGTAGTGATCTTGCCATTAGAAAAAGAAAAAATTACCTTTTCTGCATTTACAGTAAAATCTGAGGCTAAAAGACCACCTTCGGTGTGATCATGGCCCACCTCATACATGTTGTATGACGGATTGCCAATTTCTACATTGATTCCTCCATTTATAATGGGCTGTCTTCTGATAGTTTTTGTCCTGTAATGCATAAACACGCACAAAAATAAGCTAGTGACTTTACGAGTAATTTCTTGGATGCTTCATCCTAAAATACTGCAAGTTTTACTTTACTTTACTTCTCTTTAATCATTAAGACCGACAGGATGAAAAAGTGTTTCCTGCCGAGACAATCAGAAAATCCTTGCATTTTTCAAACAAAGTGCAATCTGAGTCTATGTGTGGATCTCACATAAGCTGGAAGGAGCTTTTTATTCTTTTTCTTAGTTTGGCTGCAGTCATATGAATTCATACACAGTGCTCGCTCACTGTCTATAACCCTGACTTCCCCCTACTGTTTCCAGAATTCCCTCATTTCCCAAGGAAAGCCTTGCAAATTCATTGCAGATTCCCTGTAGTAATGAAGATGGAGCGCATATGAGTCATGTTCCCTTGCTCATTCTTTTCACTTCCATTTGAAATCAGTTGCCCAAAGTCAGTTGTAATCTGAGGACAAGCAAATGGTTTCATTACAATGCATTAAAAATGTATGAACTTCTCATAGTTCCAGTTTGTATTCCCTGCCAGTGGTTATTGGAAAGCTGAAGTTGAACTTGAATTTTTCCCAACTTTAATAAAAGATAGAGTCTTATTTTTAACCTTGAGTTAGATATCAGTACAGATAAGTTATTGAGTTGAATTGTTTTAGTTGCTAAATTCATTTCTTTTAGGTAAGGAGGTGATTTTATTCTGAGCAATTGAAATAACCTCAAGAGGGTAATTTCTCCCAATGCAATATGTTCTCTAGAATTACAAGGGAATAATAGGGAGGTCACAGTCAGGATGATAATAGTCAAGTCCTTTTGTTTGGTTGAGAAAGATGCAGTCAGTGTTTGAAATCCGGTACACTAAAAGATCTGTATTTTTCAGAAATGGCATAGAAAAAAAAATTCTAAAATAAGCACTTATGTGTAACGTACAAGTGTTCAGCATCTATACCTAATCTAATACTTCACAGTCTTCTTTGAAGAGATTAAAAAAAACCCCTAAAATACATTTTCAAATATAATTTTAAGAAAAAAAAAAAGTTCTTTATTGAGGTTAGTTCTATTTCTCTAGTGAAGATCTATTATTTAACAAGTTATTCTCAAGATCTTGTTCCACTTAAACAATTTACAGACTAGCTACTAGTTGTCGGGATTTGGCTGTCACTAAATTTGGTCTTTAGGTACAGCAGCATGTGATGACATCCATGGAGCCCAGCAGGGTCAGTGTAACTAACAGTATGATCAGGGAATGTATTTATATGATCAGCCTTTCAAAAGGGATTTAAAAATTAATGCTCACTAGTTAGCACCACAGTTTGCAGGGGGATGCTACACATGATGCTAGATGATAGTGACTTAAAAGATTCTTTTAATCTAGAGGACTGAAATAGTCCACGTCTTCCCTAGTTGGCCACATCCTTACTACTTGGAATATTTCCTTGTTAAATCTGCATTGCCACTACCATCACTTTCTCATTTCTCTGAACACAAGAAAGTTAGCAGCTCTCTCAGGTGTCTGCTTACCCTTGCTTCCCCGGCCACCCAACAGGGCTTCCGAAGAAGTCAAAGTCAAAAACCTCTACCACACTCCCTAAGTTCATTATCAGCTCAAAGGCAGCTAAATTCAAGAGAACAAAAGATTCACTGTTCATTGAATTTGAAATTTGGCTTCCTATACAAGATGCTAAATACAGTAACGATGACATGACTTGGGACTCTACAGTAGATACTTTGAGCACTGTTTACATCTTCACTATAAGTTATATAAAATTGAAAAGAACTAGTCAAAGTAAATAAATTGAAGTGAACTGTAACTAGAAACCGGATATTCTGCACAGGCTTTATCTGAAAGTATTTATAGACATGAACACTATTAATTACGTGGTTCCAACAAAATACGTTAATTCTGCTTACTAAATTCACTAAGTCTCTGGATAAAATTATTAACACATACATCCTTGGCAGGATGGAGCACACTAGATGAGAAAAGAACTACATTTTCTTATCTAATGTATACGGAATGTAAGTATAAATAATAGGCATCATTGCTCCAGCAAGAACCAAAATGTAACTAACTCATTGCATCCAGAAACAAGTTTGGGGTTGCTTATTGTGGGTTTTTTAATATCTGCTCAACATATATAAAGTGATTTTTTTATATCAAAAAGATGTACATACTTTAAAGGTTTCCTTTTTTACTTCATACGTCAATATAAAATTACTTACCTTCGTTTCCTTTTGCAAAGAAATAGTCCAATTACCAGAGTAGTGATCAACGTCACCAGTAAAACAAGAGGAACAATGATTGCAATGCTTCCTAAAACAGGGAAAAGAAATATCACTGAATACTCACAGCTGCATCTAATAATGTCTTCACAGCTGTAAAACAGTTAAATTAATTAAAAAAAAAAATTCCCGCACCAATAGATGTAATTTCAAGTGATGAGCTTCACTGATTTGAGATTTTAATGTTGATCAATAAAAAAAAAAATAAAAATCATTACAGATAACGGTGTACACACAAGTACTTTTATGAACAAATCAGGAGCTTCCTACTTCTGGATACCAATATACTTTGGACTAGTTCCCTGCCCTCATTTGCAGCGATATCGTATGAGGGTGTGTGGAATTGCTGAACAATTTGGATCGGAGTGGCACAGACACTGACTTTAACTGCCACCATCATCTTCAGTACTTTATTTAAGTCACACAACTATTAATTTAAAATATTGAGTGGGCATGGCTCCGATTGAAGAATTCCATTATTAGCACTTATATCTATTTATTACTTTTATTTGTGGGAAAATGAAAAGTAGTAAGCAATATTCATTTTTAGATGGTTGGTGCAATCCTGCATTTTACTGCATCAGGCTCAAGAGCCAATAATTTTGCTATGTTGATATAGGCAATCAAGGAACCCAGAATAATGCTTAATGTAGCAGAAAAACAGTGCACAGATCAGACAGGGATGTTAAAGGAGAGGAGGTAACAGGGAAGAAGAAAATGGGCTTAACGTTATTTTGGTAGATAACTTCACTGAAATGAGACTACCTGCAAAAATAAGGTAAGCGATGCTGCCCTTCTAGAAATTTCTCAGCTTTCATGTAAATATTGGGCAATAAAGAAATAAATGCAAAAAATAATTTTATGTTATAAAAACTGGCCCTTATAAATTACAGGATGCCAGTACAAAGCCAATGTGGAATGGCATGTGTTTCCTTTAACATCACAATCCTTAACTGGTGGAAAACAAAAATATAGCTGTTGTTTCATCAGTTACATTTATTGATTTATTAAAAAAAATAAGCTGTTGTCAGTCTCTGCTCTACATTAAACACAGTCTAAACAAAGACTTGAAAAAGATGCCTTGAATTCTGCTTGAAGGTTTACTGGAAGCCAAGTCATGTTGTCTGTCCTGAAACGGAGTACTTCTGAATAAAAACTTGAAGTTTTTTTGGAAAAAAAAAATGAGTTCACTTCAGCTGATGAAGATTCAGCATGTAAAGGACATTACAACAATACTATTTTAAGATAACATTTGACAAATAACTGGATTAAGTTCTACTTAGGAGGAAAAAATAAAAAAAAAAAAAGGTTAATTTTGTCTTGGTAGGTAAACATTAAAGAAAACACCCTGAAAAACAGCCCGCCAGACACGAATTGTGACCATGCCATCTGGTCACCATGGTGCAGGCTGGGGTCTAGCAGCAGGCACGAGACAAAGATCCATTTCCTAAATCGTAGCAGGTATTCTCCTCAACATGAAATACTGATCTAGGTTCTGGCTGCTTTTTTGCCCATTTCCAGCTTGTAAGTGTTATTTCATTTGTCTGGATCGCTAGAAAGATTTCATCTAAGCATGAAGCTGACCTGAATAGTGGGCTTCATTTTTACTGCTCCTGTTGGGTTAAATGTGATGGGGAGATGTATAGTAGGGTACCATCAGCATACTCAACGCACCGCAGGGAACCTTGTCCGGTTTTAACTGCCAATAGTGTAGCCATACCATCCCTTTTATGCTTACAGACACGTTTAAAAAAAAAAAAAATACGACAGGAGCTATTCTTACTTCCAGGATGATTTTCACAGTAGGTAAAATTCAAACCTCTGCAGACAGCCAATGCGAAAGTTATGCGTTACTCACAGCTCTATTTTTGATGCTTTCAGTAGGACTTAAACAGTCAGAGGTCTCGTACTAGTTCTCTGCACAGCAGTGATATCACCGCGCACTTGCCACTTGATACATTTTCTTTAAGAAAAGTGCAGGTTAGCCCTCGAAGCAGTGAGTGTATAGCACAGGGCCTGTATCCCAACCAGCTCATGAAACACTGAATGTCAATCAAAAACTATTTTTTTTTTTTTTTTTTAAATGCAGGTAACCAGCACATTTCATGACGCAAGCTCATATTCTAAAACATCACCTGGTTAAAATGTCTAAACTGAGCCAAATTTGACAAGTGATAGCAGTGATTTGAAGTACTTACTTGTACTGATATTGTCAGACTTGCTGCTTTTGGGAGCTGGCCTCTCACACTGTGTGCCTGACCAGTTGGCTGAACATCTAAAAGGATCCAATTAAGATGGTAAAATTAATAGATGGCAGCTGTTTACACACTAACCTATTAAAGAGACCACCAGTATCTTCTCAAGAGCTACGCGAATGGCAACAGTGATTCTCCGAAATAAACAATAAGTTTCAATGAAGGAGTCAGCGGTACTCTGGCATGGCATTTACAACACTGAGTAGGTTTTCAGTTTGAAACTACAGCTTTGTATCTTCAATTCCTGTTATTATCACTGCAATCTTCACTCCAGAGTCCTTTTCTAAAATTCTTGAATAATGAAACAACAATCAACGGTATATTTGCGTCCTATTAAACCAACTGCCGCCTAGAATGCGATAACGAAGGAACACTTGAGCTGGATGCACACATCACCAACTGAGTCCAGCACGGCTTATTTGCTAAGGCACTTTATTTGCACCCTATTAGTTTAGGTTCAGCTTTGATTGAGAAGCTCTAACAGCCGTGTCCGTATCGCACGAGGATCTGACTGGACATAAACTACTACACACACCCTGAAACCCGCAGCACCCATATTGATTGGCTCCTTCCCCAGTTCTGCTGTCCCCCATTGCTCTGGATAATGCAAAGTCTACCGCAGAATAGTTGTTACAGACCTGGTTGTAATAATTTACTTGAGCAAGGACCTATCCTTGACTAATATTCATAAATTAACTGAAGTTATTCTTTTCTTTGCTTTCATATTTAAACATTTTCCTGAAAATCCTACAATTTAATGCCTTTATCTTTTTAATATTTGAACTATATAACTAGATATGTATTTGTAGAAAAATATATATATACACATGTGTGTGTGTGCGTAAGCAGGTGTGAGAGTTAAAGTATAAAGAGCTGTCCTGAAGGGCAAGGAGTATCTACTGCTTCAGAGAGCCCTGAATACCGTTTATGTTCAGAATATATGCTTCACGCGCCAGGTGCCTGGATGAGCACAAAGGTATTCTGCTATAATTTCCTTGTGTGAATATCAATATGCTAATATTTCTTCAATTGGGACTCAGAATGCTCTCCACGCATGCAAGCAAACACAAGGAGTCCATGTGTGCCGACTCAGCAAATCCATCAAAAATGGAAACAAATACCTGAATGAAATTCAACTGCCTATTCATCCTGCTGTAAATATAATTAAGTTTACCACAGAACCTCAAACCCTCCTTGTGGAAATGGCAGGAAATAGTCACTTTTCATCTGCTTCTGTTGCATATCGTGCAATGAATCGTATTTTTTCTAAGTGTTTTTGAATTATTTATGAATTTCAATGTGGCTTATCTTTAGGAAAATGCAATAGAGCATTACCTTCCATGCCATTCTAAGAACTACTGTTACCCGATGCCTTTCTAAGGATTTAACAAATTGCAGAGTTTAGAAGCGGTGATGCTTAATGACTGCCATTGTTCTATAATGTAAAAAGGTTTGGAAAGGTACAAAATATTCCAGACAAAAATTGTGGAATTCTTACAGGAAAGCCCTAGCCAGCTTTGCTGGTGATGCTTATGACTCTCTTTGGTCTTTGCAGATCACTGCAGAAGAATGTCTAATTTCTCTCTTTGCTGCTAAGTCTATTCCAGCACAATCCAACATTCAGAGAAATCTCTTTACTGGGTTTCATATTAAATTTGAACTTTTGGGGGAGGAATGAATTTAATTTTTGGTATGATATGTTATGAAGGTGCTTAATGCAAACTCTACAGAGGTAAAGCACAGATGGTCTTTAAAAACATGTTTATTAATTGATAGTTCGTTCAAAATTTTTGACACAATAGATAAATTGCAGTATACTTTGGAAGTTGTTCAGCGGTACTCTGGCAAGTTTGTTTATTGAAATAAGTTTGTTTACTGAAATAAACATGATAAATACACACTTAAATTTCCTCACGACAAAGGAACCCCCCAATTGCTAATTGGTTACACACATTATGGTTGACAACGATATATTTTAGAACTGAACCCAAGTGACATTTCCACTCCTGCTTACCACCACTTTAGCACATTCCAAGTCACATGGAACATGACTTTAATCTTTTAAAAGATGGATCTGTTTTTTTTTTTTAGAGCCCACTTTACTAAGATACTATTCAAGGAACTTATTTTTTCAAAAGATTAAGATTCAACATACAACTGCAAAATAAGTATCTCCATTCTTGTAGAGAAACACTATAAATCTTTATACTTAGAATACTCTACTGGGATCCAAACTGTTGGCATGTGACAACCATGAAATAAAGTCTTTTTATTTCTTACTGGAAGTTTTGCATCATTGCTGTTGGGGATTCAGCTCATCTGATTAAATCTTGTTATGAGAGGCAATTTTCATTTAATACTACACTGTTGGAAAGATTTCCTTGAGAGCTAGACATATCTTAACTTTGTGCCTAAATCCTTATATTGAGGGTTTCAAATGCTTCTGCTGTATAAGAGAATCATTACTATAAACCTGTCTTAAAACAGTTTAATGTATATAAGACTAGCAAAATAATCACTATGAAGCTTGCAAGTATAAGCTTATGAGAAAATTGTGAATAATGTACAATTGTGCTCTTCAGAATCTTTCAGCAGATATGACACCACAACAGCTGGTGAAGAAAGGAATCCTACAGCTATAGATGTAGTAAACAGAGAAACAAAAAAGGGTAAGAATATTAGCAGTTCTTTACCTACCTCAGCATTTTAATTGTAAAAGTTCGCAATATTGAAACATTTGTGAGGCGTTTGATAAAAATCTCACAAAAACCTGATAGCTAGTTGCCACTTCATTTTCATTTTTTCCAAATACTTGCTCTCTCCAATAAACTCCAAAGGGACTGAAGCTGACAGCATGGCAGTCATTTCCTTCTATACTCAGAGGTAAAATGATTGCCCTTTTATGGCTCAGCAAGCTCCTAAACGCTCGTCTTGGGCAGACAGAATAGAAAAAGAAATAAACCTCAGGGGAAAGGTATGTTGTCTGCAAGGGAATTTGATACAGAAAATTAGCCATGAGCAGGCACACGAATAATGATGGGGTTGGGACACGGACAACTGTGCATGTAGTAACATGGAAAACGAGCAGGTCTTAACCAGTTTCAATCGTCTTCAAATACCATAGACAGAAATTGTTCCGGTATTAGGACATTCACACTCAGACTGCTCAGTACCTAGCATGGGAACAGGCTTCTGGTCCAATTTGATGCACAACAATTTCCAAATCATTTGGTACCAGGAGCTTTTTGTTCTGTAGCATTGCCAACAGTTGTATGGGCAGAGATAGGACATTTGCAGTACGGGCAAACAAAAAGGCATTAACGAAGCAGAACTACCCAAAGCCACTGGTTTCACCGAAGACATTCATATTATCGAGAACTGTGAAGAAAGAAGAGTGATAACACCTAATGTGAGCTACACATAAACAAATACAGATGGAAACAGATGGGGAGCTTGACAGTGAAGGACAGGCTGGAGTCAGCTGAGTGGTGCAAGGTGCTACAGTGAACATCTTAAGGTGCAAATTTCCAGTTCCCAACAGAATCGGTGAACAGATCAAAAAGCAACAATATCATAGAGAATGACAACAGGAAAACCAAAAGGGAATGTAATAAGTAAAGGTTGTACATGGTCTGCTGCCAAGGTCATTAGTAAAACTATGATACGGCTCTCTCTGTTACTATTTAATTCTACATTTAGAAAGAGATGACCGCTTGGGACACACCTTCTGAGATACAGAATGCCTACGTGATAGGAATTATTTATTTTGAGGAAACAGTATTACAGAAGAGATGTGTTTTAAAAAATTTAAACTGAAATTATAAAGGTGTCCCAGTTGTAACGAGGAATACTTAGAATTAAGATATTTACATTTCAGAGACTGATCACTCTTGTTAACAGGATCTATTAATGAGAAAGTATATGTCTCTCCCCTCTATTTTTGTATAACCCTTACAGGTCAGTGCACTGAAACACTTGAAACGCAACTATATGGGCACTTGACCAAAAGGAACCATTGGACTACAAAATGTCTGAACAAATAGAAAAAAAACTAGTAAACCGGCTAATTTGGGGGCAGTGTGAATTTTTTTTGGTTTTGTTTCTCTCTTTTTTCCCCTTTTTTTTGGTGTGCCATAGGCATTGTCATAAAAATATAACAAGCATAATATGCAGTTAAAAGTGCTTTTGTAGACAACTGCTTTCCAACTCAATATACCAGTGTGTATCAAGAAAATGACAGAATGTAGCATTGAAAGATTAGTATAGAAGTGTAACAAAATCTGTGAAACAGTCATCACAAAATAGAGTTGGAAGGGGAATTGAAAATGTTTCTTACCTATAAATGATGTTTCTTCATTATACAAAGTAATTATCTACCTTTGCTTTTTTTAGTCACAACATAGATAGTAATGTATAGTAAAACATCCTAATGAAAATATCCAGCCTCATTATTTTAAGAACCCTTACATTAAAATTTCACTGGAATGTGTCTTATCATTGATATTAAAACTATTTGTAAGATGAGAGAAAGGAACATCTGGATTATAGTTATTTATTTTCTGTATTAAATCGCATTGAAAGATGGAAATCAAAATAATCCCCTTTTTTCCCCAAACTCTGTAGGATGACATAGGAGGACAAAATCCTTGCACTAAAGCAAATCACTAAACTATTCCTTATATTAAATTTAGCAATACTTCATAAAGGGAGCTGATATTATAGAGTTATACCCACAGATAAACCCTCAAAGATCCAAAGAACTTTCATAGAAATGAAAGACCAGAAACCCTCCCCAACTTTGATCAATAGCACATCCTGTACCTTGTCCTATATTGCACGATTTAATTATTTTCAAATAATATATTTTGCATAATTATTTTATACATGAACAGATGACATTTTAGTATTTTTGTCTAATAAGCATCACTTGTTATCTTTATAAGGAAAACAAAGTGAAGGAATTCGACGCAGAAGCTAAGGGATAGAAACTTTACAATGTTACTTTAAAATGAAAAAAAAG